GGTCAGCGTCAAGGCGTTAGCTTGCGGCTAGCGTCGGACTGGTGCGCTAGCTTCCGCCGCCCACGGGTGAGCGGAGACGCGTTACTGCACCCGAGACCCGAAAGAAAAGATGCCTCCTGGCGCGTGGTCGAACAGAGATTGCGATTAGCTACCAAGTTTGGTTTTTTTTTTGCTCCTTTCCAAATTGTTGGAACAAATGAAGTCATGATTTTTCTTTTCCGGAATATCCGTAACATTCGATGTAAAGGGCGTAACGAGGTCGCGTTCAGAGATTTTTCAATGAATTTTTTTCCAAAAAATCTGGACAAACGGTACCAGTCTTAATCTTCAACTTGCTCATTTCTGAGTTCAACTCAAAACTGGAATTGGCAGCATCCCGTTCAAGTCTTCCCAGAAGAGTGAAAAATGTCAACTCTGCAAACATCATCCGCTCTTCTTGTACTCACGGTAGCCCTGCCCCAAAACTTGATCTTGGTTTTCTCAGAATAGTTTGCGTTATCATTTCAATGGTGCCGATCTACGCTGTTTTGATTTTTTTTTCCAATTTTGACGTGCATCATGTCAAGTGATTTCTTGTCAATAACACCTGTGTGCGTGTGTGTGTGTGTGTGTGTGTGTGCGTGTGTGCGTGGGCGCACCTGCGTAATGGCTCATTTTCAATCATTAAGCTCAGGGCCTTCCAGCGGTGATTCAAGGGGACATCCACTGAAAAGGGGGGGGGGGGGGGCGCACCTGCGTAGACGACAAGGAGTTCGATGTGTACATCTCATACGCCAGGAACAGCGATGAGGAGAAGTTTGTTCTGAGGACACTCCGCACAGTCCTGGAGAACCATCTGGGTTACACGGTGTGCATCTTTGACCGAGACAGCCTGCCAGGCGGGAGTGAGTTCACACTTTTAACAGACGTACATATCGAGAGAGAGAAAGAGAGAGAGAATATGTCTGCTTGGAATTTTTCCAGTGCTCCCTCCCTTGCTTAGAGGAACTCAAATGAGAATGACATGATTGAAAAATTCTCCTGCTACCTACCAAGCGTAGGTAGCAGTAGCCATTTTTTTGTTGTTGTTGTTGCTTTGAATGGATGGAATAATTGGATTTGAGAAAACACGTCGCTCGGTGACGCGGGACCTTTGCAAAACGTGGCTGACATTCTTTCTGTCCTCGTTCCGATCAGCCATCACGGACGAGACTCTGAGCTTCGTGGCACGCAGTCGCCGCCTGCTGGTGGTGTTGGGCCCCGGCTACGCCCGGCAGGGCTCCCAGGCCCTGCTGGAGCTCAAGGCGGGCATGGACGGCCTGGCCGGCGGCCACCTGCGCCTC